CAGCAGGGGAGGAGCAGAGCACAGGGAAAAGGCTGCTGCTGCAAGAGGTGCTGCGAGGGCTGGGGCTCCCTGCAGGTACCAGGGTGGTGTCACTGCAGCTGGACCTGCTGTGCAGCACTGAGAATTGCAGGGAAGCCAGCTCTTATCCTGACAGAGAAGGGCCAGGCTTTGCAGAGGGTGCAGACACAATCCTGAACCCTGGAGAGGCAGGGAGCTGAGCTTCTCTGCCCCTGAGATGAGCTTCCTGTAATCACAGTGGCCATAATAGGTGGGGAATGAACTCCAGGCAGGGCAGAGATAAACTGCTGAGGATGTTGAAGGGACACCATCAGTAGACGATCCCGTGGATCCATATCAGCAGGTGTGGACAGGGTACAAGATAGGAACGCTCTGCCCTCACACAGTCCAAGGATCAGCGTGTCCCTTTGCCCACACAGTCCAAGGATCAGCGTGTCCCTTTGCACTCACATTCTCTTGTGCCTTACAGAAAACAGCCTGCACCATTCCTGCCCACGATGGGCCTCTGGCCGCTCTTGCCTTCAACTCCACCGGCTCCAAGTTGGCCAGTGCTTCTGAAAAAGTGAGTGTGGCTGCACATACCCTCCCTCTGCCCAGGGCTGCATCAGCATCCCTGAGCTGCCCCTTCTTAAACACAGCCAGCACAAAAGGGCCATGACTGGTCAGTGCATTGGGATCAGATCGAGCCCAGCTGGCAAACAGGAGGAGCCTTTGCATGTCCTGAGTTTCCTGGGTGTGTCAGGGAAAGGGCTCAGGCTCCTTGGCCTGCTCCTACATGATATTTCCATTTGCATTTTTTGCAGGGCACAGTCATTCGTGTATTTTCCATTCCTGGGGGGCAAAAACTCTATGAATTCCGGCGAGGGATGAAAAGGTCAGTTCATTCTTCTGGCAGTGGCAAGTACACAGAGGGCTCCCAGAGCCAAAATGTAAACACAAGGACACAGGGCAACGTCAGATCCTGGTGGCTTTGGCATCTTTAGCAGAAGGAAAACATGAGTAAACGTATGGGCTGAAAGTGTCACTGTGCCAGGCTGTGCCCAGCTCATTGATTCCCTTCAGTGTGTCACAGAACAGGGCGATGGCAGGGAACAGACATGGAGTCACTCCGTCCTGTTTACTCTGTCCTTCCTTCTTTCTTATAATAATGAAGTTCCCAGAATTGTCAGAGACCTCATTCCTGCTGAAGCTGTGCAGGAGATGCTGTTGGTATCCCACTGTTCAGCACTTTGGATATCCTCCCTGGTCTCTGCAGCACCAGAAGCTGCAGTGAGGCTGGCACAGATGTCCCTCCACAGGCAGCTCTGTGAGCAAGGACATTTCCACCTCTCTGGCTGTTTGTCACTAGCTTGAGGCTGCTCCCAGGCCTGCTGAGCAAAGGGATTAGGGAATTGCTCAGTGAGGCCACAGGCTCAGCAGCAGCTGTGCAGGGTGATCCTCACCATGGATGGGTCTCCTTCCTGCCCATCCACTCCTCTGTGAGCCAAACCCAGCAGTTCCCCTTGAATGATCACTGTGGAGTGACCAGTCCTGTCCTTGCTTGGCTCTAGGTATGTGAACATCAGCTCCCTGGTGTTCAGCATGGATTCCCAGTTCCTCTGTGCCTCCAGCAACACAGAGACCGTGCACATCTTCAAACTGGAGCACCTCACAGACAGGTGAGGGATTAGCCTGGCTGAACCTGCCTGCCCCAGGGCTGTCTCTGCTTCAGAGGTCTGTGTTTACACAGCTGCTCTCCGTGTTCTCACCACGTTCTCTCCATGAGCAATACCAGCTGCAAGCTGTGTCCTGAGGGACTTGTTCCTTGGAAAAGCCACACACTGCACCCCTGCTGTCAGGCTCTCCAGGCCTCTCTGGCTTTATTAGGTGCCACTGTTCTCTGCCCACTCCAGCCAAGCTGGTGCACAATGTACAGGTGCTCCAAAACACCTTTTGCCCATGTGAGATCAGGTCTGTTCCTGATGTTTTGTCACGCTGATCATGGCAACCCCACTGACGCTGCTTTGTGACCCTTCAGCCGGCCAGAGGAGCCTCCAACCTGGAGTGGTTACATGGGAAAGATGTTCCAGGCTGCTACCAACTACCTCCCTGCCCAGGTGTCGGGCATGATGAGCCAGGACCGAGCCTTTGCCACCGTCCGGCTGAACATCTCCGGACAGAGGAACATCTGTGCCCTCTCCACGTACGTACTGACCCTACTGACCCGGGCCAGGCCAGTCTTATCTCGTCCCCTGCCTGCAGGGCACGTGCTGTGGGTGCTGCTGTGTCTGTGTGTGGGAGGTTTTTGGCCTCAGGATGCTTTTCCCACCAGGATTCAGAAGCTGCCTCGGCTGTTGGTGACGACATCGGATGGACATCTCTACATCTATAACCTGGACCCGCAGGATGGAGGGGAGTGTGTCTTAATTAAAAATCACAGGTAATTCTGCCTCCACTCCCACCTCATACAGAGGCTGATCTTTTGAAAAATGAAGGGAAATGTCACCTGGCAGCACAAAACGGAACTGTAGGAGCAAGAAAGTTAGAGCTGAGTTTGTGATTGGAGCTATCTGATCTGACAGATGTGGATGGGAAGTTCATCAGCAGGCAGGGACACAGGACTTGGTGCAGGAGAAACCAGAGACATCTCAGATGCCATGGCAGCTCTTGGACTGGGCAGGCTGTGCTTTAGGGATGCCCCCAACAGCAGAGCTCCGACCACTGTGGTGTCAGGAGAGCAGAGCACCTTCTCCAGATTGGAGAGGGTGCTGGAGAGCTGACTGGGGGTAGGATGGTGTGAAGTGACACTGACAACAGCCCAGTGCCAAAGCAGAGGAATTTCTTCTTGGAAGGGGTGGTTAAGCATTGGAAGGGGCTGCCCAGGGAGGTGGTGGGGTCACTGTTCTTGGAGTTCAAGGAATGACTGGATGTGGCCCTCAGTGCTCTGGTCTGGGTGACAAGCTGGTGGTGATCAGTCAAAGGTTGGGCTCGATGATCTTGGAGGTCTTTTCCAACCGAAATCATTCTGGGATTCTGTGAAAACAGAGCCTCCCCCGCCGCTGTTCAGTCCATATGCAAATCCCATTAAGCACATAACCCCCCCGCACACATCTGGGCTGCTTGGCTCCAGATGTGAAGCCTTTGGGGTGGGGTGAGATGTAACATGTGCTCCAGGCCGGGAGGTGGCTGCCAGCCAGGAAAGTGCCAGCAGCTTTTGGAAAAGCCACAAAACAAAAGCACTTCAAAGCTGCGCTGTCCAGCGCGCGCCGCCCGCAGCCCCCAGCCTTGTCATGTGGGCTCCTCTGAGCATCAGAGGGCTGAAAAGGGCCCTTGGGTCATGAGTTACATTACATCATACGATATCTCTGCTCAAACTCCATCCTAAACTAGCCAGGGCTGCTTTTCCCATCTAGTCTGCTCCTGTTGGAAGTTCTTCGGAGCCCCCTCTGTGATTAGAAACACTGTTTGCCTTTGTAACCTAAAGCTTTTGTGGTCAATCTGTTCCCTTCTGTTCCCATGCCAGCATTGTCCTCCAGCTGAAGTGGTGCTTTCCCTATCTCCTTCTTCACCCCCTGCTTTCCTTGTGGAGCACAATGCTCCCCTGTCCACAGCACTGCTGGGGCTGCTGCACGCAGGGATGGGGATGGGTGATGTGCTTCAAGATGTGGATGCATGGGCTTGTCTTAGCTGGAGCTGGGGAGGAACAGCCGGGATCAGAACTAACACTTCTCCCCTCTCTTGATCTGTACAATTAGTCTGCTTGGCTCAGGAAAGATGGAGGAGAACAAAGAAAACGACCTTCAGCCTCCAGTACCTCAATCTTATGCAGCAACTGTAGCCAGACAAAGTACAGTGCCTTCAACTTCGACCATGCCAGGTAAGCACCACATCTGCCCTTCCTCAGGCAGAAGCCACAAAACCACCTGGGGCAAAGTGGAAAGCGCCCCACATTCCAAGGTTTCGTCCAGGATCAGCACAAGTGCACTGCACGCTGGGGCAGCAGGACTTTGGAGCTCACCTGGTTCATCCCCTGCCACAAAATTGCACTAAACTGCTGCAGGAAAACACTGGGTGACTATCTCATTATATTCCCAAGTGTAACACCCAAATCCAAATGCAGATCTTACTCTGGAATTGGTGCTTAGGTTCATGGCAGGAGGAGGAAAGCTGCTGCCACGGGAGCTGACCATGCAGCTCATCCATAATCCATAGTGCCCACAGAGACACCTTTCCCTTCCTGCAGTAACTCCTTGTGTTTTCCCCTGGCCAGGTTACTCGGAGGACGGTGGAGCCCTGCGTGGGGAGGTTATCCCAGAGCACGAGTTTGCAACTGGACCAGTCTGTCTGGACGACGAGAATGAGTTTCCTCCTGTGAGCATTCGGGACCCCTAAACCTGCAGTGCAGCCCTCATGCTAAGAAGGCAGAATCTCTCCCAGAAGAGATTCCATTGCCCCCCTCCTTGTCCCAGCTCACTGGGAAACCTAAAATAACTGAATGGGTTCTAGGGACAGTGCCAGTAAAATGACACCTCCACTAAACAGCAGCTGGGGATGGGGCAAAAACAATCAAACCTAAGCAGAGATAGATCTGAACAAACTTGCTGAATGGTGTTCAGATCCAGACCTAACCTTTGTGCCTTGAGCAGATTCCTAATATTACCAGGAATAGTTTTAATTGGAACAATTTAGAAATAAAAACTTAATACCCTGTTGCATTTTCAGTCAGTTGTGTTAGTTCATGGAATGCAGCTGGAACATACCTGAACCTCACCAGTCTCTTCATTTCCAAGGTAACTGAGAAGGAAACTCCTTTTCCAAGTACAGAGATGAAAGGAATAGCAGAGTTCTAAGCCATTTTATGATTTTTATGTGGCACTTTCTCAGTTACCATTGGAAGGAGCTAGTGGATTTTTCAATCTGACTTCAGCCTGGCAGTGTCA